TCTCTCTCTCTCTCTCTCTCTCTCTCTCTCTCTCTCTCTCTCTCTCTCTCTATACCCCTTACCTGCTATCCAACACCTAAACCCTACGCACTTTACATTTCATTATATTATACCTGTCAAATCTACAAAGTAGCACAACTTGGAAGGAAAGAATATAATCCATTGTGATTTTATGATGTTGTTGAGGTGCTGAAAAAACTGCTTACATTCTTTACCTTATTTCCTTTCATTCTATTGGAATATTATTGTGAAGTGCCTTTCCCAAAGACACAACATCGGACCGAGCCGAGTCTCAAACTCCTGAACCCAGGATGTTATGATTACAAGTCCAAGTTGCTTTTGCTTTAGTAAGAGTTTTACGGCACTTGCAACACAATAAGGTCATAATATAAGAGCCGAAGATTAGACGTGTTACAAGAGAGTAATGAAAACAAAAAAGGAGGAGGAGAGAGATGTACGAATGTTGTTTTTTTATAGGAAAGAAGGAGCAAACCACACTAGAGCACCCACCAACCACCCATTTCAAGTTGCTTGAACACTAGACTTCCAATGGACAAAGTCAATGAGCACAAATAAATATGTTGATCATGATGTTCTAGAAGAACAGAAAAAGTGGGCCCTGTATCTAATTCAACTGCACTGCATCCATACTAAGGGGAAGCCATTGAAGTACTGCAGGCCTACATGATGTATTTCAGTAACTGGAATTTTCAGGGCACATCAGGTCACACACAACAACGCAGTGCCAGTTCTCCCGAGTTTCAATCTAGTCTACAAAGTAGAATCATTGTCATCATTGCCTTTCTCATCCTGGATCTGGATATAGGTCACGAACACACATGTTCCACCATTCACTATCCTGAGCTTGCCGCTTGATGTTATTCCATGTCTTCCCAGTTTTCTGTACATCCATTTCTATGATTCTTCTCCAGGTTCTGCGTGGTCTTCCCCTTGATCTTTTAGCCAGTGGGTTCCATTCTAACCCTTTCCTTGTTATTCAAAGTAGAATAGTTTAGGGGAAAATTGTTACCTTCATGTCTTTCATCATACTTCCTCATATTCCCCAAGTCTCCTTGTTCAAATGCCTTGTGAGTATCGACTCCTGTGTTTGACGTTAAAATCTGTTCTTGCCATACGTCATTTGTTGTTGTTGCTGTTGTTGCTGCTGCTCTTCTTCTTCTTGTTGTTTTCAATCCAGCAACAACAAAACTCTCGTCCTTCTATTCCAAGCCACGTAGTATGTAGTGCAGGTTTGCTGTAGTTGCTATAATGTTCCATAGAGTGGGTTGTCAATGTTAGATTTCAGTGGGAGAAGTGCAAACTCTCATGTCATTTAGGGTTATCTAGACATGTCATTTCTACAATAGGCATGACAGGAGAAATACAGACATATAAAATGGACACTGACAAATTCAAAAATAATGAAACAACTCTACGCACAGTTTTGAATAAAGCCATAATTTAATTATCACAATATCAGGACAGTAAAAGTAATTCGTAATATTGATGATGATGATGATGATGATGATGATGATGATGATGATGATGATGATGATGATGATGATGATGATGATGATGATGATGATGCCTTAACATTTGGCGCAATGTTTTATGAAAAGATTTGCATAAAAGCATAGACAGTGTGAGGTACTTTCTGAAGAAATAAATGTGTCACAACGTGGTGGAATCAGGCGCTCGTCAATTTTTTGGCATGTGGCTTTATTGGTATTATTTTAAAGCATGTTCATTTGTCATGCTTTTGTTGAAAAAAGCACGAATCTATCAAAAATACAAGTCGAGATATTTGAGATTGAAGAAGGTGGGGTCGCCTGGTTTCAGAGGTAAAATTGGTGAGAAAATGGCCGCCAAAGTTTGGTGACTTCCAAAGCTTGAGAGTCCTTAGAAACTGCAAATTAAAATTTGTGTGCCTTAAACCAACATTTTTCAGTAAAATCCAAACAGAAATGTGTTTTTAAATAAACCTTAAAGGTGTTGAGTCAAAAAAACAAAAAATCGACAAAAACTGCCGAACAGACAGAAAAATACCAGTTTCTTTGATTTCATTATTTTGACTAGTGCCCGATTCCTCTATTATGCCTCACAAAAGATTTTGACAAAAAGATATAGTACTTTTGACACTTTGTGGACATAAGCAGCCTCTTGACACAAAATGTTCAAAAAGTGCAGTCTTTATAGAGAAAAAAGAATTAGAAAAGACAAAGTCAGCTTGTACTTGTAGTAATCAGTTATTGTATTCTGTAGTGAAAATGCAAAACAGTAGAACATTTCCAGATGACAATACCGGGTGTATACATTTTATTGTGCAAATATTTCCAAAATTGACCAACTTTCCCATGCAAGGATACTATTAAATTCAGAAAAGCATCAGATTTGATTGTTTAAGATAATTTCTCGTTGCTACAACGTACTTGAGCCGACATTTTTTTGCTTGGCTCATGTGCCTGTTCCTGGTTGGTCAAATTTCGGTGTTAGGCCTTGTTCACATGAGATTTATCCTTCATCAAACATAGAATTCCTTAAAACTAAGGTAGCCAGGTGATTACTTTGACTGCAATCTCAGCAGCCTTCCCCACTGCTGGTATGTGGTCTGTTTCATGTTTCCGAATCTGGAGAAAAAAAAAAAAGAAAGAAAAATTGAAACATCATGCATCGTTCACACTCCTATCAATGAAAAATTGTATGTAAACCTAGCAGAAATATCAGGTACTAGCAGCAGGAAGAAAACAAATCAACTGTATCCTCATCTTTATAAATATAATGGCTGAGGACCAAATATTTTGCATTTGAAATTGCCAATGCTTTATTAGTGTCACGACATGGTGGAACCAGGTGTTCATTAACTCTTGGCGTCCGCAATTTTTTTCACCGACTCTCCCAAAATTTTCCTTGGGGCCACCTATTACAATAGGGTACTTTATTCAAATAGATTCTGTTGCCATTTTTGTTCATTAAAAGTATATATATATTTGATACTACCGGAAGGGAAATTAAATAAGCTTATATCACAATAGATGGGTTCCATTTTGTGTTATTATGTAAGAGCAGCTACGAAATACAGGGGGGATAATAACTTTAAAAAATAATGAAATTGGCTAGTTTTATGAGTTTTATCCAGCTTGCTGTCACCATTACCCATGAAATAGAGACTGATACTCAATAGAAATGTTTATATATATGAAAATCACCTTTGTAGTAATACCAAACACGTAGGTATTCCAGCACAGATCTTGTTCAACAATTTGGAGTAATTGAAATACACGAAATGCTTGCCAGCCACAACCCAGTCTTCACTGACAGTAGACCTTGACCTGCAATCAGCTCCTAATTCTATCTTTGTAATATATCTACTACTGACAGATGCACAATCTTTGTTGACATTGCTAGCACTAGATCTAGGCTTTGGGGGCAGGTTAATAAATTATGGATGATTCACCTACTACCCTTGATAGAGTACGATGCCCACTCAAAATCTGGTCAAATTCATCCCTGATGTCAGTAGGGCCGATAGTCACTGCTATTTCTAATCAGTTGAAAATTACTATTGAAGTCTAAAGTCAGTATTGCTGACAATGTAATCATAATTTAATGTAAAATCCTCTATCAGTCATCTCGACCAGCGAAAATCTCTATGGGACTTTCGTTTAGCGTGAACAGTTTCCACAAGCCATGGTTGCCATTGTAAACAATCGGGTTTGCTATATTCTGATCGACACTGCAGACTAAAAAATTCAAGCAAAATTCTCTTTAAAAAGCCGACTAATAATGAAACTAGCAGTGAAGCGTCCGGTCTTGACACAAATACATTCACAAGTCACAAAATATTGCCGAAAGTAGCAGTAGAAATCGTTTAATAAAACCATATTATGAGAAATGATGACTGAGTCGTTCCTCCACGAAAACTGCGTTCGGGCGCAAGAGTTAACTGCCTACGGCTATGGAGTTATTGGTATCATCTAAAAGTGTGTTCACTCCTCTTATTTTTCATGAAAAAAAAATCTATCTGTCTTGAATAGAAGTCAATATACTGCAGGAGGTGCCATATGGGGGTTGCCTGGTGTCATAGGTAAAATGAGCAAGAAAATGACCTTCAAATTTTTGACTTCCAAAGCTTGAATGTCCTTCGAAATTTCAATTATTTTTTTTTGTTGTATCTTTGGTCAATGTTTTTTGTAATATTCACATATAACTGTGTTTTTGAAAGAACATAAAAGGTGTTGAGCCAATAAAACAAAAACACAAAAATTCTACAAAAAATAACAAATGGACAGAAAAATGTCTGTTTCTTCTACGATTTCATTATTTGTACTAGCACATGATGCATTACAATGCCACAAATATAGCACTGTGCTATAGGAGTTCTAAACTTCAACAATACCAATGAAAACAATCAAACAAACCTTGTCAACATGTTTCAGCAGTTCTTGTCTACCCTCAGGGGCCTCAGAGAGACATGTCAGAGCCTGAAGAAAAAGCAGAATGAAAAAACAAATCCAAATGAAGGAAAAATGTGATCAGGCCCAACCTGCTATTAGCAAGCAAACAAACTTGAGCATGACAATATGCATAAGACCAATGGCAAAAGCTCAGAAAAGTTTGGAATGGGAAAATTATGTGATCAAGGAACCTGCAAAGTACACAGATTCCACCAATCCCCAAACCTAAAATGAAATTCAAACTTTATACAAATGACAAAAGTATAGCAGTGCAATCTTGTCGAAGTCAACTACATTTTTCAGGCTCATATAGCTCACCAAAATTGGATACCTATGCATTATTATGCAATTTTTGGTTACAACAGTGTCATACACAACATATCAAGACCAATTACTCACCCTAAGATAATGAACACCAAACACAAACATTTTTAAACTTCGTAAGAGGCTTCTCAAATGTGTCACATCTCTGTGGGTAACAATCTGAACTCAAAATAGTTTATGAGCCTAACAAACAAAATAAAAATATATTCAAGCAAACAGGAAAAAAATATGATGATTAATATAATTGATTCATTGGTCTTGGTCAGCCCTGTTATTATTCTATCAGGGTTTTGTTCACATCCTATTTCTTTTGGAATGACCTGTGCTTTCATTCATGATTCACTGAGAAAAAAAGAGTGCACACACCTTGATGGCATTGAGCCTGACTTCGCTGTTGACGTCATCCACCAGGTCCACCAGAGGAGGAATAGAGACGGCGTGGATTGCTGTATATTTGCCCTTAGTGGTGATGGTGATTCTGAGAAGATAGACAGTGATAGGCTATAGATTATTAGTGTCATGATGCGATGGATTCAGGAACTAGTTAATTTTTGGGTATGTGGAGTTATTGGTATCATCTTAAAGCTTGTTCATTTGCCTTGCTTTCGATTAAAAAAAACACCCATCTATCTAGAATAGAAGTCACACTATTTGCGATTGAAGTAGGTGGGGGTCACCTGGTTTCAGAGGTAAAACAGTTACAATAACAAACAACAAACATTAAATTGAAACTGCCGTTAGCTAAATGAGACCAAACTGACCACAAGCTAAATCGGAAAGATTGTTGTGATTTTTAAAAAGTGTTGCTCGATCAGAGTTTTAGCCTATACCACTGACATCTCGATCATTTCATTTGATCATTCTTTCGCCAAGTAAAGGTGTGCAAATTATCACAAATTTTAGTTTTAGTCTTGTAAATGGTGTTAAACGTATTGTGCTCTATAGAAACAACTGGATCATTTAATAGGTTGGCTGAACTGACCCGGCCAGTCGTGGCCAATCAAGACTGACAGGGATACCAGCATCCCAGCAGAAAACTGAGATACCTGATAAAATAGAATAACTTCTCCCAATAACTTGATAAAATTTTAACAACACAAGCTAGAATCAAAACTCAAACTCTCAGTTTCTACATATCCAGTGAGAGAGAACCTATACCATTACTCCACTGATACCAGTGGGTTTTTTGTCTTACTGACATTTAATACAGAGAACATACAAATATAAACAGGGACTGTGATTTCACCTCTACAATCCAGTATTTTGGAGTTCAAGTTAAGCGTGCTTCACTGTATAAAGACAAAACTGTCCCAAACTAAACACAAAGTGGAAATAGAGAGAGAAAGAAAACTGCATCTCAAATACAGACATGATTTTAAAAAGCAGTCTCTACAATGTCCTCACGGAACTGCTTCTATAAAAAATATGTGATCAGGGACAGTTTACTTGATCTAAAAAATATGATAAATTATGGTACAAGAATGATATCTCCAAGTGAATAGGACGCTTCTTGAATAATTCAAATTTGACAAGCCAAACATAAAAAGTAAGTGTAAAGATCTGTAATTTTTTTTTCCAGCTTTAATTTTACAATGTGACAGAAAGAAAATGACCTCTATGGAGTCCATCATTCCAAATGAGTGTTTGCTTTAAAAAAGCTAGCAGATCAGGAGATCAATGAATAAATTTAATGGGCTTATTGATTATGAAGAATTTGCAAACACTATATATATATTCCAAGAAGGATGGGCGGAGGTGGGGGGAGAGGAGGGGGGGAGTAGTGTGGTTCCTGACCAAGGTTAAAACCATGCCTTTGTCAAATGCCCACTCACATCTCACCACAGAAGCTGTTGCTGGGCTTGCCTGCAAGCTCATTACCTTTTACTTTACTCTGATGCATACAGAATGTCCAAGCATTGAAGTAAGCAAAGTTACACGTTAAGCAAAATTCAAATTAGATAAATTCGACATTAGTGGGTTCGGTTATAATCTTTCTACTTCCTCTTTTTCTCCTCTTCACTTTCTTACCCTGAACTTCATCTCTACTTTACATTCTACCTGCATTTGTGGAGTAGCAGTTAGACACATCTTCATTCCATGTAGAAGAAGCAAATATGATTCCTAGGTCAGGAAACTTTTTAATCCTGAAGCTCTGCCAGGAGCTTAAAACACCTGCAATTACTTTACATCCTAGAGATGGGAAAATTGTGTAAAAAAAAACTCCTGAACTACAAAAGCCTGCGTCATCAACAAGAACTGCTCACGTCATGATAGCTCCAGCAGAATTTGCTCTCACTTCCATTGTTGGGTCCTTGAGCATGTCTCTGAGAAGAGGAAGAGCACCACATGCAACGGCACGGTCCTTTCCAGCCAGTGGCACACTGAAAGTCACAACAACAACAAAAACACGTTTGAATAGTGACACTCCTGGTCAAAATCAGTCATATGAAGGAAATTTCAAAATTTAGTAAACATAATTTCAAAAAACTATCACCATTTCACTACAGTTTGGGGAAAAAATGAAGTAAATAAGACAATATTTGATGAAAATATGGAACTTTTAAGAATGCAATTATCTCAATTTCACCAAAGCCACACACTCGGAAGTCTGCAAATCGGCTTACATGCCGTGTTTACGCTTCCTAATTATAAAGTTTGCAATAGCACTATAAACACACGAGCACACACACACATACACATACACACACACATGCACACACAAATACACACATATACACGCACATACACACACACATACATAAATATACACACACAAATGCACATAGACTGCCTCGGTGGCCTCTTGGTAAGGAGTCCACCTTGGGAGATCTAGAGGAAGATCAATCTTTAAAAAAAACCCCACTAAACACAATAAAAACGAACTTTGAAAGTCAACCGAAGTGTAAAACTGAAAGATCAACAGCCCATAACTGAGCTAGCAGGGCATGCTTACACAGTCAGAAGTTTACGTAAACAAGCTTGAAGTGGGGCTATGGGTTACCGTTCTTATCCCATATAACCAATCGATATCAGAGCCCTCAGTCGTTCATAGTGACGCTAAGTTGTTTATATTTCAAACCACTCACACTCAAAAAGGGGTCTAAATCTAAAAATAGGGGCGAATGAAGGATGTTGAAGTAATGAGGCCATGAGGTAATGGTTCTATAAATAATCTCACACCTACACACTAGCAGGTCAAAAATGTTCGAAAGGGTTTGAGGTCCAAATTTCTTTATCTTGTCACCCAAGCTCACAACAAACCACACACACACCTCCAAAATAAATCAAAATAAAATATTTATAGTCGATTGTAATTGTTTATTTTTCATCTTATATGAAGCAGAAGGCATTAAACTTTCAATGGATCCACAAAAAAAATTCATGGAAAGTCACTTTTTAACCTTTCCAACCTCGCAGCACCAAATAGCACATTGTGTCTTATGACTGGTTATGACCGGGGTGGACAGAATTATCATCTACGATATCGTTGTCGCCATGACAAAGCCTCGGATTTGGGAACTCTTACAGTTGAGATTAACACTTATCAACAACGCAGCACGCAGAGAGCGTAACACTTATCCCCAAGGATTAGAATACAGGTGCGGTACAAGCTATATCACACCGTCGCCAATTGGCATCCCGATGGAAAAACGGACAGCTTCTTACCGTCACCGATCGGCATCCCGAGGGTGCATAGCGTTAAAACAAAAAATAGACTTTTTTAAAAACCCACTGTGGGTATCAACATAGATCTGCTTAAAGAAAAAATCTTGCACATGACTGCATAGCTTGCATTTTGGTATCTCTGAGTTTTAGTAAGTGAAATTATGCCCTTAATAAATAAAAACATTTAAGCCTGACAAAGCAAGGATTTCATTGTTTTACGTGCCACATACCCTGTTACCTGAGTAATTGGGTAAAGATTTGGAGTAGATACAGACATCACTACATCACCAGCCCCCCCCCCCCCCCCCCCCCCCCCCCCTCAAAAAGAAGAAAATCCCTTATCCATTTCATACACATCTGCACACACTCACAAAGACATCAATGTGTTCACATCAACATAAGCTTGCCGGACGACAGTCTCCATAATATAAGGAGCTGTTTGCTGAGGATTAATGCAGGTTCTCGAAGTGATTTTTTTGCGTGTGTTTCTTTGAATCAGTCTGTGAGAAGCAATGAAAATGTAAGAGAGTCACTATTAAGCCTGTAGTTAGAGAGGCTGTCCCTGGTCAAGGGTAAAGTCCTACTCTTTTCAAACGCCAACTTGCCTCTCAGTGTAGCTGTTTTGCCAGTTTGCCAACATTCACATTATCTTTGGCTCTAGCATGATGAAGGCAAAATGTCCAAGCAACATTCCACATTGAATTCAATTTGATGCCAAGATGCTATCAATCTCCTTTCACCAGTATACCCGTGGAATCTGTTACAAAAGCAGCATCGCTAAACTTTCTCTGATTGTTAAGTAATGTTACAATAAACAACAAAAATACCACGTTTTATACAAATAAATAATAAAACAGACCTGAGATCCATTATATCCCTGGCAGCTTTGGCACGAATAACAGGAAGTTCATGCTTCAGAAGACTGGTGAAAGCTTCCATTGCGCTGGCATCAAGAGCACTTTGCGTGTCAACTCGCATGCAAAAGTGAAGGGTGTCAAGAATGAGTTCCTGGAATAAAAATTTTTTTTATATCACACTATTCTCAGAGCTTGAAAACATGATGCAAGAAATTACCTAAAAGTCGTAATAACAAAATGCCCATAACATGATCAATGCTGTATTAAAATGCATTTTTGACAATATTATTGTACGCACACAAAAATTGATTGTTAGAAGACCATGCTGCTTCCAGGACATCCTGTAAAATTTCAAAGCTCCATAAAAAGTTTTTTTTAAAGGAGCAGAAAAAACAACTATGCACTTATAAAGTAAGAGGAATTAGTAGATCTAGGCCTATTTATAAAATCAACATGTAGATCATCAGTTTCTCTAGTCCAACTCCACTTAAGAAATATGATCTTTACCTTGATTTCATTCAGTTCTGTCTGCAACTTCTTCACCAGAACTTGAACAAACTGAGCTTGCACAATGCCCTCAGCGCCTGCAGCAAATTATGTCACCGTTTTTCACATTTTAGTACATGGAATAGGAAAGACTTGAAACAAGCAAAACATTGAGAGTACAAGACCTTTGGTGGGGATATCATATTGCTTTGCTCTTTTTAATGACTCAGACTTCGACAAAATACTACATCCATTTTCGAGGTTATACATGTATTACGAGCTAGTTGAACGATAATGAGAAAACTCACTTCAATCCTAGTACTAGTACAGAAAAAAAAAGGTCCAAAAGTCTATGAGTGGTCCTTTTGTCACAGTACAAGACCTTGAATAGGACAGAGTCAGGAGGAGGGAGATTCAAATCATGACAACCCGCACCAGAGATCAGCATGACATTTTGAACTGATGGTGGGCACGAAAAGCCTACATTATACAGTAGTCTCTTCCTAAGACCCCTGTGCTCGGGAGCAAGGAGAATGCAGGGTCTTAGGCAAATGGGACCTTAGCCGACACATTAAGGGAATAATCTATGATGACCCATGTTAAGGCTCATAACCGGTAGAATGGTCTCCCTTCACTCTAAAATGAACTGACGTGACCCCTGGGCGGGTCTATGACTGGCGGGCAAAGAGTGGTCAACCTTGATGACCAATCACAGTCGAGGCATGAGGCATGCTATTTTCACTTATTATCCTATTGTGAGTCTCAAGATCTACGCTTAACCAGTTGCCCCTCCCCTTTACCTGCCCAAAATTGACAGCTTTCCATCTTTTACCAAGTGCCCCCCACCTTTGTCATTACGCACCATTACGTTGTGACCACACCAATTAAAATTCAGTCCGTTTCCTAAAGTTGGGAGTAGAGAAAACTGCTGCACTGGTCTGGGAAGAGTTCACAGATAGATGTGATCCGGCCTGAAGTGAAGTGACGTAATTTAGGTGGAGAGCTCAGATGCGAGTGCAATGTGCGGGGAAAACAAACACATCTGTCAGTTCACACCTTGATGTGATCCCATCTCAGGCAAACATTGTACAGTTTCATTGTGACTAACAATGCATTTGAACACATTCATGAGAGTGGCTGATCTTTGACTCGACGGGCAGTTCAATGACCTCAACTTTTCACTCTTGGTTGATCGGCTGTGCCCGCCCGGGTTTTGGTTGCGTAAATTATGATTTGAAAAGCGGGATCTTAGCCGAGAGTAGACCTTCAGAGAGAATCAGAGCAGGATCTTAGGAGTGACTTTTGTATAGAAAAAATTATGTTTTCTCAAAACAGCGGGATCTTACGCGAACAGGGATTGTAAGCGGTAGGATCTTAGGCGGAAAATAAGCATAAAAATTAAACAATGCATAAAATTTAAATTTTAGTAAACTTAAACAGGCCTCGTTTCTGATAGAACATCTATCCAATACAACAGAACCACATTGAAAAATTCAAATTTCTAGAATGACTTCTGAACTGAAATGACCAAGTTTGTTTCTTCCATTACTCAAGTGTTCTTCAAGCATGGGACTGTATGAATCTCGATCTCCAGATATTGCATTCTCGAGAATAGCAGTAACTACAATCTCTTAGCATGAAGATTTGCTTCCACCGTCACCCTGCTATACTATAATTTAGAATTACAGGGTCTTTGAACACACTAGGCAGAGTAGACCTTAGAAAAGGGCATGCCAGATATTTTTGCCTCAAGGGACCATGAATTTAATCTGATAAGATTGACATTTTGTTACGAGATGGTAAACTCCAAAAGCAGAGATGGAGGTAAAGTCAGTTAACTCTTAGTGGGGGAATTAAGAAGTAAGCTAATTCTTTTTACTGTTCGATAAAAAAATTTTTTATCAAGAGATAAGAAATTATTTTTTCAGACGACGCTCTTGGGGTAAAAAAGTCGACATTGCCAGAGAAGGGTGGATAGATAAGCACAATCATCAAGTCTTACCTGGGGGTGTCTCAGAAATTCTCATGACACAGAGGTGAGCATTCTTTCTGGCAATGTCCTCCGAGTCATCAAAAAGTCGAGCGACTGGATAAATGGTTTCATTCTCGAGGAAAGAATCTCTACCAAGTGCATGACCTGTCTCACAAATAAAATGAATAAAAACATATAAGTTTAGGTCTACAATCTACTGGTTATTAAAGGGGGGGGGGGAAGAGAAAAGAGGGCTGAGAATGTTAGAATAAAAAACTAGAAAGCCGAAAAGAAACAGCAGTTTTGCAGAATCACTATGCCTTTTGTGACAAGGATGACAATATAATGACTGTAAACTTGTACTTATAACTGTCAGCTCATTTTAGGCAAATGAATTGAATTCAAAACTCCTCATTGCAACATATAATATCATAATCTAATAAAATATAAAGTAACAGGTAAGTAGACGTTAATGCCCTTATGGATACAATTCAGATTATTTAGGAGGCTGACTGTTTCAACAGCCTCGAATGTGTGTGTGTGTGTGTGTGTGTGTGTGTGTGTGTGTGTGTATGTCTGTGTGTATGTCTGAGTGTGTGTGTGTGTATGTGTGTGTGTGTGAGAGTGTGTATGTATGTGTGTGTGTATGTCTATGTGTATATGTGTGTGTATGCCTGTGTGTATGTATATGTGTGTGTACATTCATAAAAACTGACATTGTTATTGTGTCTGTATTTGTATTTGTCCAGTGTGTATGTGTGTGTATGTATGCGTAAGTGTACTTTCATAAACTCTGACCTCTGTTGTTGTGTCTGTGTTTATATTTGTCCATTGGTGAAGTATGTGTATGTGTGTGTATGTGTGTGTGTGTGTGTATGTCTGTATGTCTGTGTGTATGTATATGTGTTTGTACATTCATAAAATCTCACATTGTTATTATGTTGT